GGTACACATTTTGATTAGGATTTTCTTAGGAAAAACTAGAGTTTCTTCAAACAAATAAGATTTTTTTTTTCCTTTTTTGTTTTACTGTTGTACACTCCATAAGTAGAATACAAATGGTTATGGCTCACAATGCAAATGGTTTTAGAATACAAATGGGTTTTTGAGAAATCTGTAGTGTTCACTCAAAAAAAAAAAAAAAAAAAAAATCTATAGTGAAGAGGTTTCGATTTTTTTGAAAATTTTATACTGATTAAGACTTTGTTTTAGAAAAAAAATGATTTTTTTTTCGGTTTTGGTTTTATTGATTATGAATCTATATTGATTAGGGCTTTTTTTTTTAAAGCATATCAAATCATTTTTTTTTTTGGATTTTAAGAAAATCTCTGTATTAATCAGATGTGGGTTGTTCTACATGGGTTTTTTTTTTTTTCTGAAATATTTGTTCTATTTCATCCTTTATTTTTGGGAGTTTGACTGTTTTCTTGGAATACTCTTTGATTTTGTGGCTCAAAAATCCCCATTTGTATCTGACTTGGTTGTTTGAATTTGATCTGATTTAATTGTTTTGTTGCTTGTGTTTTTGTGCTTCATTCGTTTGTTTATGTATAGCCTGAAATCTAACTGAAGGAGAGAAAAAAGGGTACAAGGAAGTCAAATGGGATGATAAGGAGGTTTGTGGATTCTATATGGTTCGATTTTGTCCGCATGATCTCTTCGTGAACACCCGAGTGACCTAGGTGCGTTTCTTTTATCGAATTAAATTTGCTTAGATTCTTTGATTGGTTGATGAGGAAGCATAGGAGAAGCTAAGATAAAATAGAATTGTGGTTTGGTGCAGCCCATTAGTTGTTCTAGCTCGGTATAGTTGGTGAAATTTGCAAAACCTTCAATTTAACTTAATTTTTTTTCCCTGACAATACTTTTGTGTTGTGTTGCTTTGCATCAGGACCATGCCCCAAGATTCATGACCCGAAGTTGAAAGAAAGGTAATGGATGAGTATGGAATTTCATTTTAGGTTCGGGGAACTATGATTTAAGTAACATTGCGGTAGAAGTATGCATAATTCTTTTAGTTCAGATCGTTCTAAGGAATACATAATGGTTCAATTATTGTTCAAATAGCACAACCCCACTCCAAACTGCTTGGCATCAGGAATACCTATATCCTAGCTTGTGTAAAATTATCAATTTAACTGTCTTCACGACTAAGATAACTGATAAGACTGTATTATCGACTAGCTGTAGTTTTCCAATTAAACTTAAGAACATGTTATAATTATTTAGATAGAGATTAGTGACATCTCTGCATTCTAGCTTGTACATATACGCTCTAGAGATGGTCCGAGGTTACTGGTTGGCCAATAGTTGATGATCCACTTATGTTCTTTCCTCTTGCCATGAACCAACGTTAGAAAACAAGGATGCCTACCTCAATGTGGGCAAGGCATGCTTTTGACACTTCTGTGAAAAGTGACCATGTGACAAACAATTTGAGTGAGTCATTCAATAACTGGGTTGGGGAGTTAAGGGAAAAACCTATACTAATTTTGCTAGAAATTCTGAGGGCAAAATTCATGAGTAGGTTGCAAAAAAGGTTTGAAAAGGCATGTACTTGGTATAACTTTGTGACACCAAAAGTTGTAGAGAAGTTAAATGCCGTCAAGCATGAATCAAGAAAATGTACCCTCTTTATTGGCTAGTCATGATGAATTTCAAATCACAGATGGATTATTTGATTATGTAGTTGATATTGGTAAGAGGACTTGTGAATGTAGAGTTTGGGATATCAGTGGCATACCTTGCAAGCATGCTGCTGTTGGCATTGCATATAAGAGGCAAAACCTTGAAGATTTTTGTGATCCATGCTATTACAAGGATACATATCTCAAGGCTTATGGTGAAATGATTCACCCTATTCCTGATGTCAAGTTATGGCCTCAGTTAGATGGCATCTTTCCATCTCAGCTTTTGCCACCATCATTAAGAAGACTCCCCGGAAGGCCAAGGAAAAATAGAAGAAGAGAGGTAGATGAAGCTGCCCCATCCACTAAGTCTAAAAGATCTTGTACTGTTCGATGTCTAAATTGCAAAGAGTATGACCATAATAAGAGGACGTGTCAAAGGGGTCCAATTAGGATAAGAAAAGGCCAAAGAAAAAGATGGACTTCAGATGTGAGTGTAAAGTTATCAATTGTATTTAGCTTACATGTATGCTTTTTTTTTTCTTTAACTAAAAACTTGATAATGGTTGTTTGTAAGTTGGATCAAGCTCTAACACTAGGCAACAAAGTGGTGATGGTGTTACTAATAATGCAACAATGGTACACATAGTTGCATTATTTATGTCAACCTATTATCTATGCTCACAAACATGTGTGATAGTTCCTAGTTTGGACAGTTTATGCTCAAGAAAATTTAGTGTTGTTGTGTTTGATTATTTTAGTGTTGTTGTGTTTGGTTCTTGAAATGACATGGAGGGGCTTTGGTTATTGTTGTTGTGCTTTGGTTATTATTGTTATGTTGATGTTAGTTTGGTGGGCAGGCATGTGGAACTGGAACTACTCTAGGTGGTCAACAAGAAGGTGGAACTGGAGCTACTGCAAATGGCCCACAGGGAGGTGGGCAAGTAGGTGGAACTGAAGCTGTTGCAAGTGGTCGGCAAGGAGGTGAAGCTATAACTACTGTTACTGGTCAAATTGCTTCTCAATCTTCTACAGCTAATGCTAATAGAACTGATCCATTTCACGTATAGTGAAATGACCTGTGGTAAAATTGTTAAATGCATTAAATCACATACATGCTGAAAATGTATTGAATTTGGGTTAGTGTGATCGTAGAGTCAAAATCGTTCAACTGAGAATGTGTCCCAAATGTTCGGTTCAAGAAGGGCATCTCAGCTCCTTGGAAATGCAAGAATGGAAGGTTTGGAAGCTATGCTAGGCAAGAAGGTTTGGACATTCACCTTTATAGTTAATCTTATATGCTATATACCAAAATTTAATAAAAGCAAATGATCATATGACTAATATGTTCACATTACTAATACATTTTTCAGGGACAAGGAAAGAAAAAAATTATGTCTTCAAGGACTAGAGTAACAGAGACTGTCACTCAAGAAAGGAGTAGCAGAGGCAATGAACCTGCTTCAACTGAAGTGGCAGTGGAGTCTGAACATGCAATATTCTGATTTTCTGTGCATATGTTTCTAGCTGGGAAAATTGCTTTTGTTGTTGGCATGGTTTAATTTGAGTAGGCAGGGGCTTTTGTTGGTAGTTTATCTTTTGTATGGTTTATTGAAAGTGCTTCCGTGAAAGACCTATTTTTTTGGATGCTTGCATATATTTTTGGCTCCATGCATATTTGGATGCCTGTGTAGTTGATGTAAATGTAAATTATGTTTAGTCGATAGGATTTGTATTATGAACACTTACAGTAATATTTGGATGATAAATAGAAAATATTGCTTAGTGTTTTGTTGAGTTTGTTTTATAGAATCTCTTTGATATGCAGAGTGGCATCTAATATGGCAGCACTACTTTGGCGTTATCCAAGGTTGCTGGATCAGGTTTTGGACTTATTGCAGAATATGAATTTTCAACTGATGCATATTTTTAGAGAGGTCAATGGTATAACAGACAGACTGTTTTTGGTTGTGTTTCTGCTAGGTGTTTTTGCCTTGGTTTTGCTTCTTGTAAATTTCGGTTGCAAGTGGTGAGAAGGATGAAAATGTTTGCAGGCTTCTACCATAGTGGGTCTGATGGTACTGTACTGGATTGTAAGAAACCTTGTATTCTTGTTTTGTTTTGAAGGATTAAAGCCACTTAATGCTTTAGTCCTATTTGATTCTTGTAATCCTTTGAAATTCATGAAATAAAATTCTTTATTTCTTCAAAAAAAAATCAATTTTTTTGTAAATAAATAAAATTAAAAAAAAAATTTGGTAGCACTAGTCTTTATAGACAATGCTCCAACGGTAATAAAATGGGAAGTTCGCTAGGCAACATGACTTAGTGCTAGTGGGCTCCATATAAAGGGTAGATTGGAAAATTAATTTTATATGTTAGGATGATGTCATGAAGTTATAACGACACACAGTAACGGAGAATGGTGGTGGGGGTTATGTGTTACACGCGCATAAACTTCAGGGGGTCTAGGTATAATATGTCAAACCTTGAGGGTCTAGATGATTAAGTGACAAACCTCAAGGGGTCTCAATATAATTTATCCAAAAATTTATTTTATATTTTGACACTCTTTAAAACAACCCCTTGAAATCAAAACGAATAGCTCACAAAACCCTATTCTAAATCAAAACCCTAAAATTTGCTCGTTTTTTGTTTTTATGGCTGGCTTCGAAGCTTGCCCAAAGCTTGTTTGTGGATTCAAAGAGGAGGCGACAAGAGTCTCTAAGACTCGAAGAGGAGGCTAGGGGATCGATTGACTAAGAAGCAGAAACAGGTACAGAGATTCGATGGAGAGAGAAGCAGAGAGAGGCACAGAGGCTCTGGCAATTGATGCTTGTAGCTTCACTAGCTTGTGGATTCGACTTTGATTGACGGAGAGTGGAGAGGTAAAGAGGGGCGAGAGTCTTTGAGGAGGCGATCGATCAGGAAAATAGGGGTGAGAGTTGAGAGAAACAAAAAGGCGACAGACGAGAGTTTGAGAAAACGGAGGAGGCGCTAGAGATTTTAGGGTTTTTGTGTACACATTAACATACATATATGTATATATATATATATATATTTAAAAAAATATTAAAAAATTTAAAAAAAATATGCGGGTAATATAGGGATACAGAAACTTTGTGGATTTTGCGTATTTTTATTTAATTTTTTATAAAATACCAACAATTCTTCTATTGAGGTATCTAATTTTATGCGATAGTCGGTCAATCAAATCGGATAGAATCGAGTAAGGTCAAAATATGCGGTTAAGAAGATATTTAAAGACGCCCAGCTCCTCTAACTGGATTTCCAACCAATTTTCACAATTTTAATCGGGGACTAGCATCGTCGTTAGCGCAAAATGTCCCCCAAAATACTTTCAATAGTAGGAGCTCCTGCACCTTAACCTAATTTCAGCCTAGTTATTAACTTCCGCTGGTGTTAGTTCAACAAATGAAACAAACTCAACAACGTTGTCTGCAAAGTATACAAAGCAAAAACTATCAAGAACACAACTGTCTGTAGGGTTTTTGTGTCTACCTAGGTTATGTTAATCAGCTCTCGGTAAGTTTCCCGTCTGTTTCCTTCTATTTCTTGCCCCATGCTGATGATTTACTTTTGTGTTTCTTTTTATTGAGGATTTCATTCAGAATCGAAGTGAAAGAATGGTAGATTTCATAGTTTCTGGAGTGTTTTTTGGTTGGTAGATTTAATAGTTTCTGGAATTTTTTTGGTTGCTTGAAGTTTGCACTCTCGCTCTCTCTGTATGGTATTTTTTCTTTTTCTTTTTATTTAAATTTGATTGAACTTTTTTTGAATTAAAGTCGTTACATTGATTGTTTCTCAATTGTGTTTGGTCTTACATTTTGTTTACCCGGAACTCTTTGCATAAAAACACACACACACACAGGTATACATTCCCGTTTATGATTTACTTTCTTCAATTATGTCCAAGAAATTTGTATTTCTCGAGGAAATGTTCTAATTACAATTTTGTGGACTGCGTTGTTAATTTCGTGAAATTTAAATTAGATATGGTTCTGAGTTAATTTGGTGAGCTGGGTGGTCCATGGCTTTGTGGGGTTTTGGGAGATGAAACTCTCGTTTCCCTTTCTCTGCCTTAAGTACTACAATTTGTTCTGAATTGAATTCTGTTAACTGGTTAGCTTTAGGTTTCCAAAATGTTCCTTGCGTTTAAATTATATTTTCTCTAGGTTCTAGCTTAAAATTTTGAACTTCGGTTTTGGTGCTGCGTTATATTTCAATTTTTTTTTTCTGATTTGGGTGCTTGAATTTGCTAATTTCGAGGTTGAATTGTTTTAGAATTATTTATTGTCTGATTGACAGAATACTAAATGATCCTGTTTTTGAACATATGCAATTTTCTGGTAAAGGGAAGGGAAAACTGAAGAATTTTCATGGGCAATATTGAGGTTTGGTTGGACAACCATCTTAGAAGTAATTGTGCAATTGACATTTTTTGCGAGATATCAATTTCTGGTTGTGCTTGTTTGAATCAGGGAAAACTGAAGAATTTTCTGGTTGTGCATTTGATTGTTGAAACCGATGTTATTAACCTCTTTCTAAACTTTTGCTGTCCATTAGGGGGAAAGAAATGGACGGGATAAAGGCTTTGTTATGTTGTTGACTAGAGTGAAGAAAAAATGGGTTCTACAGTTATCCCACCGAAATCGATGATCGAGGTTCCTTCTTTGCATGGACTACATTTGAATTGCTGCCAAATGGAACTTATTTCCGGTTATAGCGCTAATGCGATGGCAAAAGCATCATCAATTCACTTCAGCTGCTTAACCAAGGGTAATTGCAAAACTCAATTTTGTCTAAAGTGGAGGGAAGTTGATAATAAAGGAAGAAATAGATCTTTGTTACGATTTAGAGGCCAGCAGAGAGGTCTTTCCCTAGATAAAGTTAATGAGGGTGCACAAGGTGAATGGAGCTCAGATGGATACGTAAAGGATGTAGATAAGAAACTTAAAGAGCAAATTTTTTTAAAGAAACATTCTAGTCCCTCAACATTGTCTGTAGACGGCCCTTTTGTTGAGAATGGTGAGGAAACTAATAATGATTTTCTTAAAAGCTTTTGCAGTTATGGGAAGCTAGTCGATGCGTCAAAGTTGATAGAAGTGATGGCTCGTAGAAACCAAATTCCCCATTTCCCTTCTTGCATAAACTTGATTAGGGGCCTTGTCAAGATTGACCGGATAGACAGAGCTGCAAAAGTCCTAAAAGTTATGGTTATGTCTGGTGGAATTCCAGATACTATAACTTACAACATGTTGATTGGTGGTCTGTGTAAAAAGGGACAGTTAAAATCTGCCATTGATGTCTTGGAGGACATGAGCTTGAGTGGTTGCCCCCCGGATGTGATTACTTATAACACGATAATACGCGTCATGTTTGATCTTGGGAGGTTTGATCAGGCCATTGGATTCTGGGAAGATCAGCTGAGAAAGGGATGCCCACCTTATGTAATAACCTACACAATTCTCATTGAGCTAGTCTGCAAGCACTGTGGGATTGTTCAGGCTATAGAAGTAATGCAAGATTTGGCAGTTGAGGGCTGTTATCCTGATCTCGTGACCTACAACTCAATGATTAGTTTTACATGTAAACAAGGAAACGTTGAAGACACAGTGTTGGTTATATATGATCTTCTATCACAAGGAATGGAGCCCAATGCCGTAACATACAACACTCTTCTCCATTCTCTGTCTAGTAATGGTTGTTGGGATGGGGTGGATGAGATCTTTGCTTTTATGAACAGAACTTCCCATCCTCCTACAGTTGTCACTTACAACATTTTGATAAATGGTTTGTGTAAATATGGGCTTTTAGATCGTGCCATTGATTTCTTTGGTCAAATGGTTTCCCAAAACTGTTCTCCAGACATTATCACTTATAACACACTCTTACGTGCTCTTTGTAAAGAGGGAATGACAGGTGAGGCCCTCCAAATTCTTCTGTATCTAGGTGGCACCAGCTGCTCGCCTAGTTTGATTACTTTCAATATTGTAATTGATGGATTGGCAAAGGAGGGTTACATGGAGAAAGCAGTGGAATTGTATTGTCATATGAAAGAGCATGGGATTATTCCCGATGATATTACACACCGATGCTTAATTTGGGGGTTCTTCCGGGCAGATCTAGTCGAGGATGCTGTGGAAATATTGAAGGTGATGACTAAGAGAAAGCACAGGATTAAAAATAGTGCTTACAGGTTCATGATCCATTCATTATGTAAGAAAAACAAGATAGATATTGCTATCCAAGTCCTAGAATTGATGATCTCAAGTCGTTACAGGCCTGAAGAGACTGTTTATTCCACCATAATTAAAGGGGTAGCTTCTGCTGGCATGACTGAAGAAGCTATTGAACTACGCCAGAAATTGATTGAATGGAAGGCTTTAAAAGAGCCATTATAGATTCAGCAGGTGATATTATAGAAAACTCATTTTCAACTCTTTTGCTGGCCGGACATGAGATTGGCCAGTATCTGCTTCAAGTTGTACAAAATATACCCACCATCAATTGCACCTCCTTGTCCAGTTCCTTGGTTGGTTCTCATATGCACTTGGTGAACATACATTTTTTTCTCAACTAATGTTTGCTCTTGTTTAATATAAATTTGTGAGGATTATCTGTGGTATTAGCATATAGTGACTATATATGTTTTCCTGATTTGTGTTTGTGGAATTTGTCTATAGCAAGAATATTATAGCACTTATTTGCTTTTTATTTTTTACTATGTTATGATAGAAATGATCTTTGTGGCTCTGATTTTTCCCATGGATTTTTTCTATTCTCTTTTGGTAAATATCTTATTAATTTTTTAGTATCAACGTATAGTGACTATGTATGTGTTCATGATTTGTGATTGTGGAATTTGTTTATAGCAGGGAATATTGTAGCACTGTACTATGTCATGATTGAAATAATCTTCTTGGCTGTCTGTATTTTTCCCATGGATTTTTTCTTTTATTTTTGGTAAATATCTCATGAATTTTTTCTATACATTACATTTTGATTCTGGTGGCCTTGAGCCTTTTTTTTGGGGGTGATAAACATATGTTTTTTGTCCATCAAAACTCATCGTAGCTTAAATGTATTTTTTTTGTTGGTATCGAAGCTTAAATCTCTTTTTTTTTTGGTAGTGTATAGTTGATGGCAGGGAGCTTTGGGGGGCACATTGACACATTAGCACTTGCAGGCGACTGTTGCTTTTCAACGTCAACCTACTAGGATATTTAGGGAAGAGATTTGCGGTTCTCTTGGTCAAATAGAATGCAGCCTGTTGTTGCAAGACTTAATTCCATTCAAGGTGGTGTTACTGTTCAATTTTGTAGATTTAGTGACCTTGAAAATTTTGCTATTTTTTCTCATGAAGTAATGCTCTTGCTTGCTTGCTGGAACTGAATATTCAAATATGTTTTAATGCCTGTCACCTTTCAAAGCTTATTGTATGACAAGAATTAGAGCAATGTTAATGCCGATCGAAATGATAGTGCTACCAATAGATAATTGGACGCATGTGGCGCCCTTGTGTGTATAAGACAATTCGCTTATTCTGTCGCTAATAAGTTTATTTTCGGGACTTCAATAGTATCGGTGGAATTTGCAAATGCTCTAAATTTTTTGAATTAAGTTAACATTGTTTTGCTTTGGTTGACAAAATCTAAAGGTTTCCATTTTGCAGGTAGAACTTGCCGAGTGGTTGGTACTACAACATATTAACCTATAAATTTTTTTAATCTATTTGTTTCATAAACACAATAAACTAATTTTCTAGAGGATTTACTTGTATATTGACGCAACCACTGAACAAGAGGTAGATTAAAATACTTAAGAATCTTTATGGCAGACCAACTATTATGAAATCACACCATATTGTTTGATATTATATCAATGAACCTTTTTTATGTTGATCAGTATATCTATTGTGACGTCCCAAATCCCAGGGTCCTTTCTCAATCCGTTGATCGCTCATCAACTTGTAGAAGTACCTATGAATGCCGTATAACTCGACATCACATCATTATATCTCTTTCATCGGGATAATAACCGATATAGAGTTTGGGTAGTCTCTCTTATATCAGAGCACTCTCAAACACATAACCTGTGCACATATCAATCAATTGACCATTTCAAGGTCCAATCCCCATCAATTTACACTTGATATTGAACCAATTATATCTTTTAAGCAAGAAGGCTCAAGATGCAAAGGCTTGACAAGTTATATTTAAATTTTTTTTGAAAAGTTTGAAAGAGGTGCCAGTACCTCTTACACGTGGTATCGGTAACTGAGCCTTTTGTTTGACAAGTATTGGTACCTGAGTAACGGGGTACCGGTATTTGGACCTTTATTTCTCAGATTCATTCCAGTTGCCAGTTACTAGTACTTAGGTGACGAGGTACTGATACCTGAGCCCACTGGTTGTTAGGTACTGGTACCTACATGTTGTAGTACTGGTACCTGAGCCCACTGTCCATCGAAGTACTGATACTTGAAGCCTTGGTACCGACATCTGAGCCCATTGGAATCTAAGTATTGGTACCCCTATGTCAAGGTACTGGTACCTTGGCCTCCCAACAGGTACTTAATCACTTAGGTACCGGTACATGGGCCCAGATTTTTCCCAATTCATTCCAATCTCTACCTTTGTCCAACCAAACTCATTTCATAGTCATACATATATTCTTATACACAAATTCTAATCCATAAAAGTTCATTACATGACCCATTAATATAATTCTACAAGTTCAAAATGAATTACATAATTTAGTTATAATATGTAATTCAAAGTCACATCTTAGCTTCTTCGTCAATAAGGGCCCAAGTGCGGGCCGTCTGCAGGCGCTTGTCCCGCACATGAAATGTTGTTCCCATAAAGGGTGAGCCACACTCAATAGGGAATCTCCTAAAGAGGCTACTCCCCAACCCAGATGCATATGAAATGTTTGCATGCAACATAACAATCAAACATTCGTTCAAGAATATACAATTTAATAATGAATGCCACAATGTCATGTCATGTTATGAGGTGAGACTCACACATGCAATGTTATCCGAGCCCTCTATCGGCTCCCATAACACGTGCAATGCCATGTGTATGCATCCGGACATTCCAAACCCCCCTTCATTGAAGTTATGTACACTCAATGACCATTTTATAAAAATCTTGTGTCTTTGTGGGGCGGTGGTTTATGGTATGTCACCAACGGGACACCACACCATCAACGGATTTTCAGGACATTCACCTGCGGCTCCGTCTTCGCCATTACACTTTTCTAGAATTTTATCGTCGGGAAATGTATAACCAAGTAACTGGGTCTTGTAGCCCATTCTTAGTACACCCTAACACGTTTATTCATTCAATTTCTTGTGCAATTCAACAGGACCTTGGTTCGACTTTCCTGAGCTCACGAATCAACCCACCTATGTTGTGATTGATAAAAAACATGCACACACGCATCCATACACATGTTGAATGCCCACGAATGCAATGCTACCCGTGAATAAGTAATTGTAATGCACAATTGCAATTCTAAATATCATGTTCCTCATATCATGAGCATATAATGAACATATTACATCTCAACCAACGTTTCCCAATTGTCGATTACATCATAAGCATGTAATCACAATTCGCAACCTCACCCAAAGCATGTTATAATATTTTCAATGCAATTAACACACTTACTCAACATATGCATTTTATCCAAAACCATCAAGGCATAAATGTAAACACAAAGCATGTCTCATTCATCACATATCTCAAGAAATTATAAACAAACAATTTCAACAAACACAATTAATACAAGATTGGTTCAACATGTTTCTATACTCATTTCCTATACTCTAGTTATACTAGGAGTATATTTTGATAAGAGATTTCATCTCTAATCATGCTTCCCATTCCACATGCAACCCTAGGTTGAAAATAAACCTAGTTAGAAAAAGAACCCTACCTCTTGAAGCTTAATACACGTAGAAGGAGTCCCAAATCACCCAACTTAAGCTTCAAAACCTGAATCCCAAAAATATTGGTCTTGAGACTTTAGCAAAACCCATGATTTTTTGTACATGTTTTTAGCTCTCATCACATAGAACACTTTTTGTTCTTGGCTCGAAGCAATTCGACAAACAGATAGTCGCAAATCGCAAGGAGAAAGCTTGGAGAACCCTTGTCTTTCTCTCTCTCCCTCTCTCTATTTCTCCCTCTCTCTCTCTCTATCCAAAAATGGCCCGAAGAATGGGGAAGAAAATTAGATTTTCTTCCCCTTTTATACTCCCCATCTACTGGGCCCACAACGCCATGCGCGCCTCTTTTGTTTGGTCCAATTTAATCCTGAATCAATTAAAATTTTTTTCATGTTATGTTCAACATATTTTATTTCAACTAACATAAAATTATTTCCTGTATTCCATGAATAAAATTTGATCACATTTATTTTAGTCGCGCGACATCTAATCGCATCGTAAAATGTGAAAAAATTTGACTATCTCAAAATTTAACAAAAATTGAATGAGTAACTATATTTCATGAGACAAATCCAACGGTGAGGTTTGTTTTTTCATTCGAGTTCTAAAAAAAATTTGGGTTTTCAACCTGTACTGTAATGGTTAAATACCATTTTTTTTTTCAAAATAAAATTTTAAATTTTTTCGGGTTTTGCATTCTTCCCCCTTAAAGAAATTTCGTCCTCCAAATTTACACACACATGCACATACAACCACATGCATAAGATCTAAAATGTACTTCTGGAGCATGAAAACATGGAACACCAGATAAATTTAGCGATAAAGCCAATCGGTAAGTGACTGTGCCAACCCTCTTGAGTACTTTGAAGGGCCCGATATACCTCGGTGACAGCTTCTCTCACTTCGTAAACCTGAACACTCCCCTCTTAGGCATCATTTTTAAGAAGATGTGATCTCTAATCTTGAACTCCAAAAATCGCTATCGCGTGTCGGGGTAGCTCTTCTGGCGGCTTTGAGCCGTGAGAAGACGTTTTTGTATTAAGTCCACCTTCTGTGAAGTGTTTCTGATCAAATTTGGACTCGTGAAAGGGTCTTTCTCCAACCTTCGTCTAACAACCGAAGAACAATGTGGCCTCCCATAAAGTTCTTTGTAGGGTGTCATATGTATGCTCGTCTGATAACTATTGTTGTTGGTGAACTCCATTAAGGGTACGTGCTCTTCCCAATTATCCTTGAGGTCAAGGACGCATGTCTGAAGCATGTCTTCCAAAATCTAAATGGTTCTCTTTGATTGACCGTCCGTTTGGGGTTGAAAAGCTAAGCTCATCATCAACTGTGTCCCCATAGACCGTTAGAGCTCTCTCAAAAATATGTTGTAAACCAGGGGTCCTAATCGGATACTATAGATACGGGTATCCCATATAACCTGACTATCTCCCGTGAAATCCGTGGTAAGTGAGTCACAAAATTCATAGTGATGTACTCCCACTTCCACTCAGCCACCTCCAAAGGCTGGAGTAGTTCCGCTGGTCTCTGGTGCTTTGCCTTAACCTTTTAAAACTAAATAGAGGAATATTAACAATAATTCTAGCCTTAATATCACAACAATAAATTTACGTCAAATATATATTTCTCCTTTTAAGCACAGTTCCATATTTATTGCGAGTATCTCAAATTGAAGTAATGATTATACATTCACTTTGATGTGTTTACATTATTTCCTATCACATCCACAAACTACATTTATAATCTTGAAATGTAAACATTGTCATACCCTATATCAAAGCCTCTTATAATATTATTGTAGAGATTTGAAAAGTAAGGATAAATTTTTCAGTTTTATCGGTAGGGCACTATTCATGCACCATTTGTCGATATGATACTATAAATGTATCATTTAAGAATAAGTCATATTTAAGAGCATAATTTGAGTATGTCATAGAAGAGAAACATGCTTAAAATGTTAAAATACACATACTGTGCAAATTTGAGCCAAAAAAGAATCAATTTCAAAAATTAGACCGAAAAGGTATTCCGGGTGGCCTAGGTGGGACCGGCCAAACCCTGCCACTAGCGAAAATATATTTTTTTAAAAATTTTCATTTAAAATAATTTTAAGAATTTTGGTTAAAATAAAATATCGAATTGAAGTGTTTTGGGAAGAGATGTAATGTAACGGGGGTCCCGGATTTATCAAGGGCAAAAGGGGTTTTTTGCACCTTTGCCCTCCAATATAAATACAGCCATTTAGTGTAAAAATATCAGTTTTTTTTGGGCTATGAAGGGTCAGTACACGTTTTTGGAGGAAAAGGGAAGAAAAAACCTAGGTTCTTCAAGCTTCAAGCCACCAAAACTCAATCCTAGGCCAAGATTCTTGTAAGACTTACTTCTAAGAAGTTGTTCCTCTCAATAAGAGCTATATTCTCACCAATCGGTTCGGCTATAAAGCGAACACAACTTTCTTGGTTTGAGAAAAATTATTTTAGGTATGATATTTTACTAAGTTGGGAATAGATTTAAGTTTTCTTGCCTTCCTATGTGTTGATTGAATGATTTAGGTATTTACTTGATGTTATAAAATCATTTAGTTTGTAGTTACTTTGAAAACTTAGAATTAGTGGTCTAAGTACT